ATGACAAATTTGGCGGCAACCCTCTTTCGACAGGGGCAGTATCAGAACGCACTTGCAATGGAGGAAACCATTTTGGAGCTCAAGAAAGAGGTCTTTGGCACCGAACACCCCAGTATTGCGACAACCATGTTTAACTTTGCCTGTTTGAAATACGACCTTGGTCAGTTGGAAGAGGCAAATCTGTTGGCCACCAAGTCCCGAGATATCCGAAGAAAGGCGCTTGGGGAAGAACACGAGTTCTACAAAGGTACCGTAGAACTATGCACCATGATCAGCAAGGCTATGGCTACAAAAGCGCCAGACGACACCAACCGCACCAAAAAGCCACTTTTGCAATCAAGACCTCTGATGAACAGTACTCGAGAATTGCTACTTCAGGGAAACTTGGAATTAGGACAACATATCACGACGGAAAAATCAAATGCAGCAAACGCACAAGTAATAAGACGTCAAATTTCCCATACACGACCTTGGAACGACCATCCCCGTCCACAAGCTCAGGCACAGTATTGGACCGCTTTAGAGGATCTTGGACCACCTGCAATTAATCCAGTCCCCCAACACTCCCAGGAGCGACCACACCATCTTCCCAGATATCACCAACCGCAAGAGTTACCCTCAACTAAGAAAGGCGTGCCACGATTGCCAGGACCAGGGTGGGCCGGCATGTACTCAAATCGCCATCCACCACGACCTTGGCACGATCTACAACTACAAGCACCTTATATTCGCCCTGAAGTTCAACGACCTCAGGAGCCACCCTGGCTTGACGATCCTATGCAAAGATCATTAGGCTCGTCCTTTGGTATGATGCAGGCGGCGCCACCACGACCTTGGAATGACCCACAACCACAGCCACAAGGATATTACCCTCCCCCAGCATATCAGCAGCATCAAGTGAGGCATTTTGCTGATAATACTATGCAATCTCCATTTGAATCCTCTTCAAATGGCGCGCCCATAAACTCGTGGCGCACCCATCCCGCGTACTTCCCTCCTTCACAACCACTTCCAGCACGGCCCTGGTCTGAACATGCGCCACCGCAGTCTCGAGACCAGGACCTACTACGACCTATTCCCGATGTACAAGTACCTTCGCTGCCATCTGCCCGCAACGTACAAGCACCAGAGGAGACACCATGGGCAGATAGGACTGCTAGTGAGAATGTATACACCAGACCCGAGTCCTATAAAGGCTCGGCATCAAGATTTCTGTCGTGGTTTCGACACAATAAGGGTGCTCCATCGACCTCAAGATAAGAGTTCGTGGTTTGTGGTTTATATTGGGTGAACTCTATAGCACATGAGTGCTCTACGCTTAATATGGAAGGAACGAGGGATACACTATGATCCTTGAACAATAGATCGTCTCGGTGTATACATACCGCATTTTATTAAAGGTGCTAGTTTTCTTCAATAAAAATATCGGTCTAATAGTTATGAAGACTACAAAGACAATACAGCATTGGTATCAACTCTTAAAAATCGCCTGTTACTAAAAACGACATGAGAATTTGGTGCTCAAGGTATTGTACGCTTTTAGAAGAGGAGAATGAACATTATGAACGCGACAATCCCAGAGCCATAAACATTGAAGGGATTTTGCAAGGGGGACGCACTATTCCCAAGGATGTGATTCAGACCGCTCTGAATAGCTGCAGTAGGATTGAACTGGTTTCCAGTCGTAGTTGGAGTATTGCCCGTGGGGTTATTGCCCGTGTTGGCATTGGCAGTTCTGGTCGTCGGAGTTGCGGGGTCACTCGTGCTCGCATCTCCATCAAGCATCGTCACACTGAAAGTGAAACAGAAAGGTTTAATGGTCTGGGGCTCCGACTGGTATGTATAAATCGACTCACATGAACCCATCAAGGGTGAGGTGTTGCCCCGGGGGAAATCCTTGGTCGGTAAGCATAACCTTGATTGTATGGTCACCCGGGTTGAGACCCGACTTGCCATACAGTGGAGTACACATCTGATCTGCAGTGCGAGTTACATCGCCTGAAGTAACGGGAGGATCATTGTCCAGGTTCACTACATAGAGACTCTGCCAAGTGCTGAAATGTCCGTATACATATACTCCAGTCCTATAAATAATAAGAAGCAACGCGATCCGTCAACCGATGCAGGAATGAGAGAGATAATGGTCTCGCTCAGACATACCCTCTGAAGGTCAGTTCGACCGTACCAGGCGCGGAAGCCCATTTTGCGGTAGTCCAATTAAAGCATCCAGACACCGTGTCATCCGTCCTGGTGGCGAATAAGAATTAGACCTGATACGCGTTTCGTGGACGTTGTTGGCTCACCACACAGAACTTGGATTAAAGGTGAAAGCCGGATTGTCAAGTTGATAGGTAACATTCACATCGGCCCAGCAAGCCAAAGGGAAGATAAGCAAGAGATATACCACCGCAAAGAGCTGCATGGTAGGAAATACGAGGAGGAGGAACTTGAAATCTGGGGAAAGTTACTCCCTTTTAGTGGCCCTTTTAAAGAAAATCTTCACAGAAGATCATAAATGATCCAATAAGGAGCGCACGGCCTTGCATTATGCGTGCGTTGAGCTAGCAACCTAACTGGACCATGCACAATCCGCTGTACTCGGTACGAATACGGTGTAAAAGCTAAAAATAATCTCTCAGATCATTAGTTGCGGGTGTTTTCAGAGCAGTTGGCGTCAAATGTAATGCTGGCCACCGAGCGTTAGCCCGAACGCCACAGCAAAAGGTTAGGGGGGAATGAGCCGTGGTCTCGACGAGAGACCCGTCCAACGTCTTTAGCCACCTTGTACTGTTCTAATTATATCCCTAAGGAAATATCATGTTCTAGAATAGGTGTTTAGAGTCCCGAACCCACCTTGGTTAGGCACAGAACACGAGGGCTGGAGAGGTATCGCAACACGACGAGCAACCTATGGCTACAAACAGTCTGTTACATCAATTGAAAGAGAGAGAAACGCTTTAAAGGTCTCCAGCAAACCACAAGAGTTGCCGCCCTGGGCATTCTCCCGTCCGAATGAAGCGTGTTGACGATATCGGGTCTATTTATCGACCACATATAGATCACTTGATCAATTCCTTTTGTTTGGACTGTTGATAGAATGCATGCCTTGACAGACAGACCATTCGGAATGAGTGGGCTTCAATGGTCTGAGCCTCTGTATCTTTCAAATCGGTTCTTCACGACCTTGCTCCAATCAGACTTTGTCTACAGATTCAACTATGCACAGTATTGGACCAGCTGCAAGCGCATCTTTTGACTCGCCAAAATTTTTGAAGGCGAGCTGAGGGCCAGAGGACTGCAAGTGTATCGTAGACTGCCCAGGTATCTATGGAAAGCGGGTCATCAGGGACCAAGATAAAAAGGGAAAATTTTGAATAAATAATCAGGGCCATTCGTTAATGGAAATTGTACACGGTCAGTAGTCCTCTCCCGAAATCGAAAATTTTAAAGCGGCGACGGTACTGGAAACAAAAACGGCAAAGTTCGTTCTCGAGTCGAACTCGGATCATTTTACATGCAAATACGACTGATAGCTAAACAATTGGCACGACACTCATTTTGCGGCATTACACCCGACGTGACTTGGCTTGAAATTAGACTCGCTGCCACCAGATTTACTTCCTTCTAAGGTACTGAATTTATTCAATGAACATTTATCCCTAACAAATAGAGTCCGTTAACAACTAGGTAGGTGAAATCATCCCATAATAACGTTGAGTTGCTCGTCATTAGCAACGTTATGAAGTACTCGTCCATCAAAAGAGGAGAACGAGCATCATAAGGGCGACGAACCCAGAAGCATGAACGCCCAGGCGGACTTGCATAGAGGAGGCACCATTCCCAAGGACTTGGTTGATACCGCTCTGGATAGCAGCAGTGGGATTGAACCCACTGCCACTGCCAGTGGTAGTCGCGGTTGGGTTACCACCCGACGTATTTTCATCACCACCATCCAGAACCGTGACACTAAAAGGACGGAAATAGAAAGAGTGAGCAAAAGGGCTCATCTAATATCGAACAAACAACTCACATGAAGCCATGGAAGACGACCTCCTGGGATTGAACAACCCCCTCGTCTGTGAGCAAGATCTTGATGGTATGTTCGCCGGGTGAGAGACCCGACTTGCTGTACAGTGGATCGCACAATTGCTCTGCGGTGCGTTCCTGCTCGCCTAGACGAACCGGGGGGTCACTGTCCAAGTTGACAATGTAGATACTCTGCCAGTGGTCGAAATGCCCATAAGCGTATACCGCGGTCCTATTATCGTAGAGTAAACGGTCAGCTGGTGTCGCGTTGGTGTCGCGTTTTATTGTTGAAAGTACGCACCCCCTGAAGGTCAACTCCACCGAACCAGGTTGAGAAGCCCATTTTGCACCCGTCCAGTCCTGACACCCAGAAGGTGCATCGGGTATCCTGTTTGTGGTTCGAATCAGAACAAAAGGTGGCTTGCAGCATTGGGGCATGCAAGAGTTGGCTCACCAAACGGCGCTTGGGTTGAAGGTGAGCGCTGGATTGTCTACCTGGTAGGTAATATTGATCTGGGCCCTTGAAATCCAGGGAAAGATGAACAGGAGATATGCTAGCGCGAGGAGGTGCATGGTAGTAGAGAAAAGGGGGAGACTGAGTGAGGGAGAGTGCTAAACATCCCCTAGCAGTCTTTTAACTCGCAATCGGTTTACGTGATGATAAAAATGAGGAATACACGAGTACAGGGTTTTTACGGTTTTGACGGCGGGCAGGTCACATCGAGCGTGTATAATTGGCCAGAATTAACGCCAAGACCTTCCCAAAGTAAACTTGGTTTGATCATTTAGAACTGGCGACCGACATTTCAATGCGTTCGGAGCCGCTGGCGTCCAATTTGTATTTGCTGGTCCCCGAGTGCTGGCCCGAATGCCAGCACTGATAGACAAGTGGTTGTTCGAAACATCAGCCACGCTGAACTAGAAAGAAAAATACGAGGACATGGCTTTGCAGTGTGTGTCTCGCGAGTCTACAAGCAGCCCCAAGTAAGTGCTGGAGCGTGCATGATTCGGTGCAGTGCGCTCGGTGTCAACACGACACAATAGGAAAGTTAAAATAACTGGCCATGGGCCATTCATAGCCGCCGGTATGGAAGGGCTGGCCACCGAGCGTTTATTCGCCCGAACGCACGCTATTCGTCGCAGTACAATCAGCTACCCCTCAGTGGCACAAAAATGCACTCCACCCAAAAGACTAATCATTTAAACCTCATATAAATTTTCTTTAGCATGTTTGGAACTTGATACCTTCGTCATTTAGACTACAGCGCCGGTGATAGCGTCACAAAAGTGGTGTCATTTGAGGGCCTTTTTTTCCAAGGCGTACTCCTCGGTGGCACACGGTTATGATACCTACCTGGGGGCGGCTAAAATTGCCGAGAAGGGCTCGAATCGAATCTAATGAATTTAAATTACATTTAGAAAGGTTTCTGCTTTGATGAAATGCCGAAAAAACCTGAAACTGGCTCATCAGTGTATATCCATAGTGTCACCCAGGGCACCCTTGAGGTGTGCTTGAGGAAGCGGGAATGTTATCTCTGAGATTATTTAGTTTATATAATGTATATAATTTGATTCTGCACCGATTTTCATCCAGAAACCGGGCATTATCCTTGCCTGAGGTATCCTGATCCCTCTTCTCCCGAGGATTACAGTGGAACAAAGAGTCACATTGAGCCAATCAGCGGCCATATATACTAAGTATTAGTGATTAAGTACGAAATAGGAACTTCAAATAGTCTCAGCAGATCTTTATGCCGCTGGCCTCACTACTCGCTCCGACCTCAAGCGTAACTAGATATTCAATTGGGCCAATTATTCGATATTTACGGTGAAACAGTTCCATATTTGATACTAGAAATAAGTATCTTGATCCCCGGTGCATCAAAAGGATGCAGAGGGCGTTATACCACTGACCCACTGAGGGGTGGCCTACTCACTACGCGCGGGATCAAATTTTGTGCACTTAAAATCAGTGAATTAGTACTGAGGCACCTTTGGTTATAGACTAC